AAAAGTGAGAGATAATGATAGAATGAATGAATGTGGATGAATGTGGAGGAGGCTTTATAATTTTTGTAAACGTAGAGTCAGAAGCAACTTTTATTTTTTTATAACTGTTTATTGTGATTTGGGTGCAATTTTACAAAGCAGATTAATTTTACATTTAACAGTTCATACCCATTTTTTTTGTGACAATGACTACCATTGCCACAATGTAACACCTCTCCTCCCACCTCCTTCCTGTGGTTACTCCTCCCCTGTGTCCTTCTTACCTATGCATTCCTGCCTGCCTAGCTTTCTCCCAGGGCAAATGCTGCCTTTCTAATCTCCCATAACCCACTGCCATCAAGTTGACTCTGACTCATAGTGACCCCTACTGAGTTTCCACGATGGTAAATCTGTATGGAACTAGATTGCCTCATCTTCCTTTTGCAGAGCAGCTGGTGGGTTTGAACCACCAACCTTCTGGTTAGCTGTCAGATGCCTTAGGCACTGCACCACCAGAGCTCCTTCTAATCTTCGACTATTTTAAAGAGTCCACCTCCCTGATGTAGTTGTTCCACACATGTTGTTGTTGTAATGTGCTGTCGTGTTGGCCCTGACTCATAGCAACCCCTCCTTGGGTTTCTGAGGCAGTATCGCTGTGGAAGTAGATTGCCCAACTTTCCTTCTGAGGAGTGACTGGTGGGTTTGAACCGCCAGCCTTCTGGTTAGCAGTCAAGTGCCTTAGGCACTATGCTACCAGAGCTCCTGTTCCACTCATGTTGTTATTGTTGTTGTTATGTGCCGTTGAGTTGGACTGTCTATTCTTTGGCTGAGTGTTAAGCCACGGTTGTTGTTATTGTTGTTATGTGCTGTCAAGTCAGACCCAACTCATAGCTACCCCGCCTAGGGTTTCCAAGGCAGAATCACTTCGGAAGTAGATTGCCCAACCTTCCTTCCAAAGAGTGGCTGGTGGGTTTGAACCACCAACCTTCTGGTTAACCTTAGGTACTATGCTACCAGAGCTCCTATTCTAGGCCTGAAGGGTGACTTGGACCATATATTTCTCCTGGTATCAGAGAACTTCTGAGACTATTAAACTGTAGCATATAATCATTTAGACATGTATCTTGTTCCATTTTAAACAAATAGACTCAAATTCTTAAAAGATCTCGACTTACTGGTCTAGTTGAGACTAGAGGAACATGCCACCTCTACCCCCACACTATTGCCCTGAGATATCCTTTAACTTTTGAACCAAAACTATCTAGAAGTTTACCTTTTAGCTAAATAGCAGATTGGCCAATAAAATAAACAATATCTCTGTGAGTATTGTGCTTTTTTAAAAAATATGAGATTAATGGTGATCATTTACTCTAAAGCAAAGGTGACATGGTAAAGGATGGGGGCAGGGAAATTAGATTATTGGGAATGGGAAAAGGACAGAAATAATGAGAATGTTGACACATTGTAAAAAATGTTACCAATGTCATTGAACAATGTGTATAGAAATTGTTAAATGGGAACCCAATTCGCTGTGCAAACTTTCACTAAAACAGATAAAATATTAAAAAGAAAAATCTACTGGCAAGAAGGTACTTGCCTCATATATTCTCTTTTTCCTGCCGTGGTCAGTCAGGGCAGTTGGTAAGCCTTTACTAGTGGTCTGATTTGAACACTGATATAAGTTATCTATAGATGATCTCCTTTATGGCATTCCAACATGGAAATATGTTTATCCAGTAGAGGGTATGTACACATACACAAGGACCAGGTGATTCATATGTTGATCTCACTTCCACTGCCACTACCCTAGTCCATGTCAAGCTATCCTTGCTTACTAATTGGTCTCCTTGCTTCCATTCTTGCCTGACCTTCCTTCTAGTCTCGACGCAGAAGCCAAAGTGATCTTAAAATGTAAAACGGATCAAGTTGCTAACTTTGTTAATAATCTTCAGTGGATTGGCCCTGTATTTATAATGAAATTCAGTTTCCTTGACATGGTTTATGATGCTCTAAATGATAAGATTCTTAACTGTTTCTCCAGCTGCATCTTGAACCAGTCTTTCCATTGCTCATGTTTCTGCTGTGCACTCTTTCCTCTGAGTTTTGTACATCTGTTCCTGCTTCCTGAATTCTACTTTCTGCTCTTTGCTGTGGCAGCTCCTTTTCACTCACCTCCTCAAAAAGGACTTTCCTCACCACACTTCTGTTATAGCTTACTAAGTATAAGCATAAATATAAATTAAAAAAAATATATAAATATGATTTTCCCTCATGCAAAAAGATAAAGAGACCCTCCCTTTTCCTTTTTCATAGAGCATTTACTTTAGAAAGCTTGTAATTGTAATCTTTTTTCTTTTGCCTCATTGAGAAATCTTGATAGTCTTGTCAAAGAGGAGAATTAAATAAGGTTTTTTCTTACCCACAAAACCAAATATTAACCCTAAACAAATTCCTGACCCAAAAATAATCCTAACAGTGACTTTTTTTTCCCCACCAAAAATTTCTAATATTTTTTTTCCTGTACTAAGCAAGGCTTTGTAATCTAAATTTCAAAAGCTATTACTTTTGAAACTGTCAGAAAGAAAACCAAAAAACCAAACCAAACCCACTGCCATCGAGTCAATTCCGACTATAGTGACCCCCATGGGGCTTCCAAGGCGATCAATCTTCTGTAGAGTAGAGTGCCTCATTTTCCTTCCACAGGGCAGCTGGGGGATTTGAACTGCCAACCTTCCAGTTAGCAGTCAAATGCCTTAGGCACTGTGCCACCAGAAAAGATAGAAGTTTATTTACATTTTGGGAAAAAAGTAATCAATAAATACTTTCCCAATAACCAGGTGAAGTTAGGGTAAACAAATGGTGTTGTCAAATCTCCTCATTTGAAGCCTAGTTTACTTTGAGAAAAGGAGCTCCAGTGGTATAGTGGTTAAGGCATTTGGCTGCTAACAAAAATATCAGTGGTTTGAACCCACCAGACCTCTCTGCAGAAGAAAGGTGGGGGCAGTCTGCTTCTGTAAAGACGTAATGCTTTAGAACCATGAGTCAGAATCAACTTGACGGCAATGAGCTTGGTTTGGTTTGATTTGGCTGCTAATTGAAAGGTCAGCAGTTCAAACCCACCAGCTGCTCGGTGGGAGAAAGATGTGGCAGTCTGCTTCTGTAAGGATTACAGCCTTATGAAACCCTATGGGGAAGTTCTACCCTATCCCGTAGGATTACTGTGAGTTAGAATTGACTCAGTGGCAATTGTTTTGGTTTGGTTTGGTTACACTGAGAACAAGCATGAAATAGGTTACATCAACTTGGTTATATTAAAGTTCAGATTCCTTTCTGATTTTGCAGTCTCTTTAGTGGATTGCATGTGATGCATCACACTCTGGTTTAATGCTTATTTTATAACAAAACTTTTTTATCTTCTGTATTTGTAAAGCGATTTTCTGGGTTGAGAGCAAATTTTGCTTGCTTTATTTATTTATTCATATTTTGATTTGGGTGAAGATTTACAGAGCAAATTCACTTTCCATACAGCAGTTCACATATACTCTGTCTCATGTCATTGACCACAGTTTACCACAAGGCAACAGCTCCCCTCCTGCTTCCTCCCCATAGTTACCTCTTCCCAGTGTCCATCCCTCCAT